CAGTTTTTATTCCCCATCTTTGTACATTACAGTTCACCCGTCGTCTGCTATGTTAGACATAGATTTAACTCAGATACTCAGATGATCTGTCTGCTCTGTCTATTGCCTATTAGAATCTAATGGAAAATGGCGCCGAAGCCTATTTGCGTGCGCAACAGCACCACATCACTGTGAACACGCAGACACACATCCTGCTCTGTTCTTCTATATGGGGAAACCAAGGGAAAATGGCGCTCGGACACCCGTGCCTGCGCAATTCGCTCTGCACTACTCCAACATGGCCGCTACTTATTGCGCATGTGCTGAATCACTTATAAATAAGAACGGTGGATGACACGATGTGATTGGCGACCCCACTCTGAGGACGTGCTTGAGCATGATACGCGTCAGGAGGAGCCACACCACGCCGTGACGTCACGCCACCGGAGCAACGTGGAGCTCCAGCGGCCATCTTACTATATCAGATGGTTAGTCCTCATCGATCTCTGTCTGCAATCATTCTGTTATCTTACCTTGATGCATCACAATAAAGTATTTTAACACCTACTACACTATGAGAGTATCTCTGTTTGCCTCTTGGGGGAGTGCTTTAGCCCACAGACCAATTTCCTGGATGGATCATTGCTGCACAGTGAAGGTCTGCCCACCCAGAGGGATACCACCCACCAGGATTATAGGGGGACCCCTAAAGGAAGAGGACCACCTACACCAGCTTTACACTACCTAACATTAGAGGGAGGACCATCCACTATCTGATGACATCTGGATTATTTTACACAAGGCGCTTTTAACATGCGCGTCCGGTGAGTGCGCATTACCTTCACCACTATTGCACGGATACCGGACCCTAGAGTCACCAGAGCACAAGAGTCACTTTATTTTGGATCACATTATCATTTGAACTTTTTTATATTTATTATTATTATTATTATTATTACATCACGTTTATATAGCGCCAAAGGGTTTGCTCAGCACTGTACAATAGGGGGACAATACATGGCACAGTACAACAAAAACAGACAGCGTACGAGGGGTAAGAGGGCCCTACTCTTTCAAGCTTACAATCTAAGAGGGAGGGGGTAGTGGAACAATAGGATGTGGCTGAGGGGAATGAAGTGGCTGAGGGGAATGAAGTGGCTGAGGGGGATGAAGTGGTGGGAGGAATGAGGGAGAATGGCCGTTAGGTGAGGGTGGGGTAGGCTTCCCTGAAGAGATGGGTTTTGAGGGGAGCGCCTGAATGTGGGGAGGGAAGGCAACAGTCGGATGGATTGGGGCAGTGAGTTCCAGAGGATAGGGGAGGACCTGGAGAAGTCCTGCAGTCGTGCATGGGAGGAGGAGACCAGGGAGCAGGATAGAAGGAGGTCCTGTGAGGAGCGAAGGATACGGGTAGGGTGGTACTTAGGGATCAGGTTGGTGAGGTAGTCAGGGGCAGTGTTATGAACGGCTTTGTAGGTCAGGATTAGAAGTTTAAATTTGATGCGTTGGGCAATCGGGAGCCAGTGGAGGGAGAGGCAGAGGGGGGTGGCAGAGGTGGAGCGGGTGGTGAGTGTGGATGAGTCTGGCCGCTGAGTTCAGGATGGTTTGGAGCGGGGAGAGCCTGCATTTGGGTAGGCCAGTGAGAAGAGAGTTGCAATAGTCAAGGCGTGAGATGATGAGGGAGTGTACAAGAAGTTTGGTGGTGTCTGGGGTGAGGAAGGCACGTATCTTGGCAATATTGCGGAGATGGAGCCTGCAGGTGTTTGTAAGTGATTTGACATGAGGCAGGAAGGAGAGGTTCGAGTCAAGAATGACGCCAAGGACTTTATATAATATATAATAATATATTTATTTATTTATGTATGTATTTGGATTGGTTAAGGGATATTTATCCATACCCATTCATTATATATTTTATTTGTCTTTGCTCAATTTAGCACTGCACTTTTTTATATATATTGATGTTCTAGGGTGATATTGGTTACCTTTTTGTGCATAGCAGCTTTATTTATTTATATCAAGGCGCTTATACTTTATATTTTACACGTTTCTGCCCTATAAAAAAAAAACAGACACCATAGAAAAATCCTTTAATTAAATAAAATGTTTACCATGTAAATTCAACATCAATTCTGTCATCCTGTAATGTAGCTACATCGTCAATGAGGAAACATCACCCTATGACACAAATGATGATCCATGCCATGATGATCCTCTCCCATTGCATTCCTGTTGTAGATGAAAGCTTCCTAGTTGGCTGCTGAATGTCAACAAACTGGCAGAGGATTCTGGGTGATGTCTTTGACCATATTTGATCACCCAGGATGCCTAGCTACTTTTTTACAATTTGTAATATGCTGGTGGAAGGCTGGAAGTGATCATTTCCTGGCAGTAGTGATACTGCCAATAAATAAATGACTTCCGACTGCAGTTCAGGTGAATGGGCAAACTCGCCAAATCTAGCTGATGCTCCAATCTTACAGTGTTGGGTTAGCTCATGTTAGATGTACTTGAAAATGTCTACATCAATGTATGTTGAGATGCAGTGCATTTAAAAGGGCCCCATTTAGTTGGCATGTACAGATCACTGCACCATAAATTAAACAAACAAGACTTCTTTCACGAATGCACCACAATGCCATTCAGCTTGGCCAGGAAGGAAGGAAGGAAGGGAGGGAGGGAGGAAGGAAGGAATCTGGTAATAACAGACTTACTGGCAGGAATGGGTGAAAATAAAGGAAAGAAAGCCTATAAAGGAAATTAATGCAGTCACCACATATAAGCATTGGTACTCTGCAGTATATTAAATATTTGTTTTGGATTTAATACTGCTTTAACTGACATCGCATGCAGATCAAAATTCACCTCTTTGCAGATGAATGAAAAAGTAGACAAAAAAGCAACAAAGTTACTTTGTATCTTTCTATGTGGCATCAGTATAATGTTTATAAACACTGCCAACACAGTCTGTTTTTTGACAGAAGCAACTTCTACAGTTGCAGTATTTACACACAACTCCTGGCTATCATTTGGACAGTCAGGATTTGCCTACAAGTGTACAGGGAAAGCTAGAATGGGACATAGTGACCAGGTTTATTACATAAGCCTTGCATAATTTGAAGTTTTTTTGGGGCATGTTTAGTATGCTCAGAATCCACAACTTAAAAAAAAAACATTCCCTTATTAATAAAAACAACCATGTGTCCATACCTTTAATATGTTCTTGTCGTGTACAACAAGGGGACTTTATAAAAAAAAGGTATTCAGAAAGCAAACTTTCCAAATCATTTTTTTGTTTATGACATATGCACTTTGGGGAGACATTTTTGAGGGGTCCATAAGGTCTCTAAATGACAGGCTGCCGGAACAACCCGCCATCTTTATTGGACAGCAGTAAACCTTTCACAACCTCTCACCTTTCAAGATGGGCTTAGTCTGTTACAAGAGACTGACATTTTTGACCTCCCTCAGAAAATGCTGTATTACCTGGCCAGTTTCTCTGTGCTTGGTTTCAAAGCATACAGCAATGTTGGTCAGCATAAAAGGACAAGTCCAGGTTTACCCAAAGTAAAGGTTATAAAACTCTCTTTAATGCTGTCCACATTTGGGGACTGAGTTTCCATGAACTGGAATGAGGCTGTACGCTAAGGATCTTCAGCCTAACTATATGGCTCTATTCAAGTATATTGGAATTGAGTGCACAAGCATGGCAAGCACTGAAGATGTAAACATATCATAGGGACATAGCTGTGCAATAGCCATGTTGGCCAAGTGGACAAACCCAATGGGGTAAACTGTGTGTGGAATGGAGTGGGGAGTATTCCTGATGAGCTCTGAATTATGTCTGTTACTGTTAAAGAGGAATAGTGGACCCTTTTGCCAAGTATAGGAGGCCCTTTTGACAAATTAGTATTAACTCTGTTTTCAACTGGTGTCTGGTGCCAATTTGTCCCAGTTCATTTCTACATTTGAATGCATTCTTTTTCATCTGGCCATACTATGGGTGTTCAGTTACACAGAGGTGCCTTTTGTGAAACCTAATTAAGAATAAAGATCGAAGCCACCTTTTTCAACTATAAAAACTGAAGAGAAAAATGAGATAATACTTCTGCCGTTACCCTGTGAATTGTGACCAGTTTCCCATGATAGTTTTTTATGGTGCCTGTCTGTTCTTTTATTACCTTTTTACTATCGATACTGTATATTTGAAAACATTTTGGGGATTTGTTTTACTTGCTATCTTAATGTGTTTCTCATGGACAGCAACGATGCTACCTTGCTCATGATCCCATTTTCCCTTAATCTGTCTCTGTTTAATTGGCATAATCATCACTTGGGAACCCCTTGTTACATTTAACAGTACCAAAAAAGATATTTAATTAACTTGTGGAATATAGCAGTTCTTTAAACCATGCATGCTATTTGGTCCAGGATACTAACCAGATTCTTTATCACAATATACCTTTAGAAAATCCCCATAAATGCCTCTATCCTACGATCTGACTCCAGCAATATGTTTGATATTAGGATAAACCTGAAAAGCTTGGTCTTGGATGTTCGAGTTGAAACGAAAGTTCGACTCAAACATTGGGTGTTTGTGTGTTCGGCGAACAACTCCAACAAGGCAGGATGTCCTCCAGGGGCAGACGTAAGGGCAGCCACCCTATTGCATCATACGACAGTGCTCCACAGGTGCAGGGCAATGCTGACTCCCCGCTGACTTCCAACATTTCATTGATGTGGGCTTTTTTTCAACACATGTGCAGAAGACCACAGTGTTGCTGTTTGCAGTCTCTGTCTGAAGAGGATCAAGCATGGCCAAAACACCAGTCGCTTGGGCACCACATGCTTGACAAGATATATGATGACCTGCCATGCAGTCCGTTGGCAACAGCACCTGAAAGACCCACATCATAACAAAGTGCAGACTTTTCTTTGCTCTTCATCTGGGATATCTACCCCTACTACAGGGATTAAAATTTCAAGTCCTGAGCTACTAGCTGGGCCTTAAGAGTTACTTGCTACCAACAAACACACAAACAGAGACACCTATACACACACACAGATATGTACACACACATAAACACACAGAAACATGTACATACACACACAGAGACACATGTACACACACACAGACACATGTATACACACACAGGCACATACAGACACGCATACAAACAGATACATGTACATACACAGAAATACACATGCACAGACACATGTACATACACATAGACACATGTACATACATACACAGACACATGTACATACATAAACAGACACGTACACACAGACACATGTACGTACATACACACAAAACACACACATGTACATGTACACACACACACACACACACAGACACATGTACACACACTTACATGTAAATACACTCAGACACATGTACATGCATACACAGACACACACAAACACACACACATGTACACACACGCACACACAAACACACCCTATAAAAAGTTGCAGTACTTTATTGTTCACTCACAGAGTCGGGTACTGCACTCTAGGGGGAGGCAGAGAGCAAAACAAACACACCTTCCTTTGCTTTCACTGTGCTCAGCTATTGAGCAGTCTGATGGCTCCCAGTGCCAATGACAGATCCAGCCTGAGCTCTGAGCCTGCTCAGCAAGACAGCCCTGGGGGACACACTCCCCCACCATACTTTCCACTCAACATTGGCGAGCAGGCGAGTGGAAATTTCAAGGCCTGCCCTACTATACCTCAAGTTGTATCAACAGCCTCCACTGAGAGGGATGATGGCAAAGCAATGGATGCCACAGGTCCTTGCACCTAATCTACTAGTACTACACCACCTGTTGATTTCACCAGGCAAATTTCGCTACCACAGTTGCCGAACCCTAAAAAAAAATATTGTCCTCCCCATCCACATGCTTAGTGTTTAAATGCTAGCTTGGCCAAATGGCTAGCGTTACAACTACTGCTTTTCCATTTGGTGGACTTCCATGAATTTGCGGAATGTGCTGTACCTCAGTGGCAGGCTCTGAAAAGACATTTCTTTTCACATAAGGCCATTCCAGCTCTGTACCATCATGTGGAAAGAAATGTTTTGGCCTTGTTGGACATGGTGGTTAGCATCAAGGTCCACATTACTGTTGACGTGTGGTCCAGTAGGCATGATCAGGGACATTACATTTCCTTCACAGTGCACTGGGTAACTCTGCTGGCAGCTGGGACAGGGTTCAATGCTGGAGCTTGTTCTACTACCATGTCCGCCACACCTGTCTGCTCCACCCCCTCCTCTTCCTCTATGGCCTCTTCTGCTGAATTATCCTCTGAACCAGCAGTGCTCCCTAAGCAATTAAGGGGCTACGCAAGAAGTCAGGCTAAAAGATGCCATGCGGTGCAGTTCTGTCTAGGGGACAGGAACCATACGGGGCAGAGATTCTGTCAGCTCTGCAGGGGCAGTCTCAGAGGTGGTTGACGCCATGGCAGCTTGAGCCAGGAATGGTTGTATGTGACAATGGCACCAACCTTTTTTGGCCCTCCAACAGGAACACTTGATACATGTTCAGTGCTTGGCACATGTCTTGAATTTGGTGGTGCAGTGTTTCCTGCATGTGGCCATTTCCGGTGGTCATACACATACACAGCCAGTGTTCGGCTGGCTGACATTCAACGGGAATTCAACCTGCCCAACAAATGCCTCATTTGTGACATGCCCACTATGTGGAACTTAACATTGGCAATGCTGCAGGGGCTGCACAGGAAGTGGAGGGCCATCAATGAGTGTCTGTGTGAATATAGCACAAGGACAGGCTCATGGGAGCTTGACTTCTTTTTGCCACCCTACTGGCTGCTGATAAAGGATGCATGCACTGTCCTGTCACCATATGAGAAAGTCACAAGGATGGTGAGCCCACAACAATGCATGAATCAGTGATACTATCCCTCTATCTTCTTCCTAAAGCACATGCTGCTGAAAATCATAAACAAGGCACTTGAGGCAGAACAGCAGGAGGAAGAGGAGGACTTCTTTTCCTCTCAAGGCCCCCTTTATGCAGATACCATTCCTGCGGGGCCACAGAACAGACAAGAGGAGGAGAAGGAGGATTGTGGCAGCATGGAAGTAGAGGATAAAATACAGCAGTCTTCAAGGGATAGTTTTCAGTCCCCAGAAACCCAGCCAGGAGTAGTATGTGGCTGGGAGGAAGACATTCCTGACAGTTTCATCCTCAGTGACCCAGATGACTCAGAATCTCATGCCTCCTCAAACTTACGCTGAATGGGCTCCCTGATTCTGCAAAGCCTGCAAAAGGACCCAAGGATTTGTAGTATCAAGGAGAAGGATCATTACTAGTTGGCAACCCTTTTTGATACACGTTAAAAGGGTAAAGTTGCAGAGCTCATCCTGCCTTCGCAGAGGATGAAACATCTTGAGGATGCCTTGAAGAAAAATTTGTGTAACACCTTTCCAGACACTGGGAGGTTACCGTTTCCTGGACAACGTGTTTCTGAGGCTTCGGTCAAAGGAAGAGCAGTAGAGAAGGTGGCTGGCTGACTGATGCCTTTAAACAATTCTTTAGTCCTCAGTGCCCAGGGCTGTTAGCTTTAACCACTTGCCGCCCAGCCACCGCATATAAACGGTGGCAGGGCGGCGCTCGTAGGCAAAAGCACGTTTTAAAACGGCTGCCTTTAAAACAGGTAGGGGGCATGCGCGAGGCGCGCGTCCGCCCTACCTGTCCCGCGGGTGTCAGCAGCGGGTGTCAGCCTACGGGTCACGGCCGGTTTTTACCAGCCGTTTTCCCCCCCCCCGCGATTGCTGGTGATCGCTAACACAGAGCAGGGCTGCATTGTTTACACACAAAACTATAGCAGTGCCCCCTTAGTATTAGTGTCCCCAAAAATGCAGTGTTAGCAGGATCATCCCCGTTCGCTGCCAGCACTAGTGTTTATCCCCAATGCTCCCCCCCACCGCTAACAAGAAGTGCAGTGTCAGTATAATTTCTGATCACTGCCACCTGTAATACATTGCACACAAAACCACAGTGTTCACAGAATCAGGTCTGATCTCTGTTAGCACTTGCTGGTAAATTTTTTGTAGTGGTTCAAGCAGTCCCTGACAGCCAGGTGCTCTTTGTCCTGTGAGTAGCACTAGGTACCTGTAAATTTAGAGTCCAAAATGTCCAACGAAAGGTACGCTAGTGAAGAGGCCTACAGGATTCTGAGCATGTCAGGTGAGAGCAAAGGGGAAGACTCCCTGACACAATCAGCCTCAGAATACGAACCTGTAGACCAGGGGCGGACTGACCATTTGGAAACACGGGCACTGCCCGAGGGCCCGGGGTCTGTAGGGGGCCCCATGAGATGCCCCTGGTACCTTTTTCATAGGCTTTTTTGAGTTTGGGCAAGGACACAGGGGCCCCTTGATCCCCTATTGCCCGGGGGCCCCATGATCCCCTATTGGCAGGGGGCCCCATGAGTTGTCAGTCTGCCCCTGCTGTAGACAGCAGCACGCTGACAGGTGGCTCAGACGATGGAGAAGAGGTCCCTGTTAAGATCAGGCGTACCCGACCCCATGAAGCTAAAGTGCTAGGATTGTATGACTTGTCTCATATGCAGCAGAGTGTCAGTACTAGTGCCATACTACCTTTTGGTGAACTGGTGAGCAGCAGCGGCCTAGTATATCCTGGTCTTTTTTATACCAGTACTGCAGTATCACTTGGTGACGTGGCAAGTCCCATAAGTGCAGTACAAGCTGGTGCAGTGGCGAGCACAAGTAGTGTCCCACAACCTCCAAAAAGGGGAGAATGTCACCAGCACCCTGAGGATCACCAATATGGGTCCAAAAGTTTTAATGGTTTTAATGAACCATTACATAGTTACAATAAGGCAACGTTTCGGAGTCTCGCAGGACTCCTTCATCAGGCATGTGACCAAATTTTAATGCAGGAATGTGTGCATTTGGATTGTACACTTGCAACCACCAAGAATTCACACACAGGCCCTTAGAGCCCCTAGTGTCCTTCCGGACATGCTTGCAAATCCTAGTTGGCAGTCCATAGATTCTGCAGCACCCGTACTTCCCCCATTCACTGCACAAATTTATTCAGAAAAAATGAGGAAGGGTTGTAACAGCGCAAACACTGCAAAGTCCTGGCAAATGGTAGTATGGGTGATGGTGGTATTAGTGGCTACTGTATGAAGAGCGTAGGATTCCGTGTGGCACTGAGGGCAAGGCTTCCAAATAAGCTGTAGCAACTTCTGTAGATGAGAAAAAGGAGAGAAGCGCCTCTAAGTGCAATAAGTCTTTTAATTCAAGTCTAAATGTAGAAACACTCACATGTGTGAAGTAATCATAAGCATAAAAACCGTGGTTAACAATCGTTAACGGTGGGGTGGTAACCCGGGTGAAGATGACGGCTCTTCACCCGGGTTACCACCCCACCGTTAACGATTGTTAACCACGGTTTTTATGCTTATGATTACTTCACACATGTGAGTGTTTCTACATTTAGACTTGAATTAAAAGACTTATTGCACTTAGAGGCGCTTCTCTCCTTTTTCTCACTGCACAAATTTAACTACTCCCCTTGATTTTATGGAGCTGTTTTTCACAGATTTGTACAATTTGATTGTGGGCCAAAGCAATTTATATGCTCAACAATATACAGTTTTACGGCAAACCCAAATTCAAACCTTGGAAGACCGTTCGCATGGAAACCCATTACGGTTTCCAAATGTAAGACTTTTTTGGGCCTAACCCTCAACATGGGAATTACAAAAAAGAATGAGTTGCGGTCAGACCCAATTCATCATATGCCCGTGTTCTCTACTGTCATGGCCAAACATAGATATGAGACGATAATGTACTTCATGCATTTCAGTAATAACACACTCTGTCATCCTCGGGGTGACCCTGAACATGACAGGCTCTACAAAATTTGGCCCCTCATAAACCACCTCACTGAGAAATTTGCAGATGTGTATACGCCCCAGGAAAAACATCTGCGTGGATGAGTCCCTCATTCACTTTACTGGCCACCTTGCATTCAGACAGTACTTCCCCAGCAAGTATGCCAGATATGGGGTCAAAGTGTATAAGCTCTGTGAGAGGGCCACAGGCTATAAGTACAAATTTAGGATTTATGAGGGAAGAAACAGTGAAGCAGAGCCCCCGACTGCCCAGACTACATGGGGAGCAGTGGCAAGATAGTTTGGGACTTTGGTGTCGTGTTTGTTCTGTAAGGGGTACCACTTATATGTGAACAATTTGTATACAAGCCTGCCATTTAGACATTTGTACAATCTTGGAATTGGCTTATGTGGCACCATGCGACCTAATTGCCGGGGCTTCCCCCAACGACTTGTAAATATCTGACTTAGAAAGGGAGAAAAAGCCTGCTTGAGGAATTATGAATTTCTCACAGTGAAGTGGAAGGACAAACAGAATGTTTTCGTCCTGTCTTCCATTCACGCACACGCGACAGTGCAAATTAACACAGTATCTGGTGTTGTTGAAAAACCGCTCTGTGTCCATGACTATAACCTTAACAAGGGAGGGGTGGACTTCAATGACCAGATTATGAATCCGTACCTAGTTTCCGGGAAAGCTCGTTGCTGGTACAAAAAGGTGTCTATTTATTTATTTCAATTGGCTATATATATCGCTTTTGTAATTTACAAAGCAACTGGACGAAGTGGATCCTTCCTAAAATTCCAGGAAGAGATCATCACGGCCCTTTT